CACCCCCCACCCTCCACAATACCTTTTCTCACTCTTATTCCACCCTCCCTAAGTCATCCTCCCTTCAACTCCCATCTGCCCTCCCTTCTGCCCTTCTGTGCCTTCTCCTCTGCTGTCCCCTGCTCTCCCTTGCCCTTCCCTCCGTCTTTTGTGTTTGATATGTGTGTGCCCTCTGCCCATGTGCTCATGTGTTCACGGACACACCCCTGCGCCGCCCCGTGCAGCGCCGTCCTCCCCCGCGCCGCCCAGTGCAGCGCCGCCCTCCCCTGCGCCGCCCGTACAGAAAGACATTGGACAGTTTTGCTTTCATTTTTACAAAGTTCACCAGTAGCAATAAGGCATTTATCATCTTTTCTGTCTCACATATTGCAGGCTGGAATGCCGCACGTCGCTGTCGCTATCGCACATACAAGAACGGAGCAAATACTTGTTCCTATAATAAGAGCATTATTATTATTACTATTTGAACTACTGTGTTCTTTGTGGCTTGAAGGAATGCTATACCGTTGACATGACAAAGTCGACTTTGTTCGGGTCGAGTTTCCTTCACGTTCGTCAACCCTAACAAATTGCTGTTGTTTAAGGGAAAAAGACGGTTGTGCTGGAATTGCGAGCAGCGCGCTGGCAAGAAATCGGTTAGCATCGCTCCAGGGCGGCACCTCGTCTGGGCCAGGTGTCGCCGCGGGCGTGCGGGGTGGAACACGCACCACCGCGGTCTCCGGACAGAGCGCGGATCCGGGACAAGAGGCCGATGAGGTGAGATGGGGTGAGGTGTTGGCTCTTAGGAAAGGGGGCTAAGAGATGGTTGCACGGATCCGATGCGGTTAAGGGGTTCTCATGTTGAACTGAATCGGTTGAATATGAGAGTGGGAAGATGTGGAAACCCGGACAAGGACTCTAGTAAGAGCGAGGATTGACTGTAATGAGAAGTAACTCGTCGTGAGGAGCTTAGGACAATGCGGCGATGGGCACTTGGCTTGATAGGTTTCCTTGGGTATGGAGTACCCCACAAGCGCCGCCTTTTTTCGATAGTGGATATTAGCAGAATTCTTACCCCGCCATCGGGTTTCACAATCGGCGCATGGCGTGATGCAGAAAGAAGGTGCAACAATGGTGTTCAACTGAGCATGCGACATTATTCGATTGGTTACTATCGTACTGCTTGGCGACCTCTGGTGACATCGGAAAGTCTCGTACTGCCAATCATGCTGAGCATTGGACAGGTACAAGTCCGCGCAAAGTAGCGTTGTATGCAAGGTTGAGGTCGACTTTTATTCAACTTTTGACCTCTAACATACTGGTAGCGGGGGATGATGCTGAAGTTGACGCAGTGAAACGCACTTCAGTTTCATAATGCTATCGGCAAGTTACAGCAAAATGTACCGAAACATCTTCAAAGTTATTGAGTTAACGCCAAAAGAAATCATCGCAAGGGCGTCGAGCCGTTCGGTGGACTGATGTAACCAGCCAATTCATTATACAGCTTTACAAGTACACAACCCCTGAACAGGATTTGCGGTATGCCATCCCATGGTCAAAAGTTTCTCCAAACCGGCGAGCACACGTACCGACCGAGATGGCGGACAGCCTTAGCCCTGCTGGATACAAGGCCACTGGGTTTGAGCGGTCCTGAGTTGAAACGTTTTACATGGGATCTCTGCTCCGCATTGCGTGATTTCCATGAAGAGAATAAGGTAAGGATCGGGCGGGCAGCGGCTCCGCTTCGGGTGACCTCCCATTCCCGCGCCGTATCCCGTAGCACCTTCCGGAAAGCCGGCAAGTCACCCTTTTGATTACGTTGGATGTATAGCTTAACTTGGCGCCTGCCAGTTGCCACCGGCCGGCCGGCCGGCCGCGGTTCCGGTGCGTCCTGGGCGGTTTCTGGTTGCCAGCCCGAGCGCTGCCTGCCGTGATACAGTTTGTCATGTTGACCGCAAACCATGCTTTGGAACTGCTTTAAACTGCTTGCTGGACCGTCGCGGAATCAGAGAACCAGGATTCTATGTACAGCGAACGGCAAAGGCCTGCCTGCTGTACGGCAGGTGTCCGAAAAGGAAAGAGGGTCCTGCACCCCCTTTTTTTTCAGTCGTCCTACTACAATGTCTTTCACGTCGCACATGCATGTCCGCACTTGGACTGAGCGCGCCGCGCCTCCCTCCCATCCGCAATCATCTCCCCCCATACGCCTCCCTATATGACGAAATCCCTGCGTGACATTTAAAACCCTGCAGGGCTTAGCCCATGAATATTTGGACCTGGGGTCCATACTGATACACGGCAACGATCCGGCGACCTGCGCGCTCTCGGTGATCCGTCGCAGCGCCGGTGGGGGCGGCGGCGCAGCTACTGCCGCCGCCGCTGGCGGTGCTAACCCCATAACTGCCAATGTATCAGAGAACGCACCTGCTTGCAGCAACCAACCAGGCACAACAACACCAGCAACACCAGCAACAACAACAACAACAGCACCTTCAGCGGGTACTGGCAACGGCGGCGACCTTGACACACCTATCCATCCTCGAGCCGGCAGTGACCGACACACAACCAACCGCAGTAGCGCTGCTGCTAACAGGAATTACGGCAGCCGCGCTCATAACAGTAACTGTAGCAGTTGCAGTTGCGGCACGGATGTGAGCAGCGCCAGTGCTAGTGTTTACACCAGCGGCAGCGGCTGCAGCGGCGGCGGCGGCAGTAGCAGTAGCAGAGGTGGCGATGACGACGCCCGAACGGCAGCAGTAGCGGCTGATGGTCGCGGGTGGTGCCGGGCTCCCGAGCAGGAGCTGGGGTTGTCGCCAATCAGCCCGGCAACAGGCAAGGAAGGGATCAAGCCCATCTGCCCCCGGGGCGCTCTGCCCGGGCGGGAGAGATTCCCGTGCTCCGAGAGATCCGGTGTGTGTGTGTTTATTCCCCCCCGTTCCCCTTCCGAACTTCCGGATGCCCCCCTCCGTCCGCTGCGTCAGAGGAGAGCCACATCGCACAACATCCCCTCAATTACAAATATTTGCGATCCTCCCTCATCCCCCCTTGCTGGTACTCAGACTCTGAAAACCCCACCCATCCTCTTTTTGACCTGCTGGCCTTTTGACCTTCCTACCTTGTTATATATACTGCTCTGATCTCCCCATGATCCACTAAAGCTAAACCGAATGCGAACCCCTCTGGCTCCGGTCCACCCCCTCCTCCCTCTTGCCATGGCATCAGCTTCACTCGCTCGTGGTTCGCCTTTCCCCCTCCTCCCCCTCCCCCCCCCTCACACAGATATATTCTCCCTGGGCTGCATCCTTGCGGAGGTTGCCACCGGGCAGCCCCTGTTCCCCGGGAGGTCCACCAAGGACAGGTTGCACCGTGTCATGAGACTGCTGCGACCCATGGGTCGTCGGCTGAGACCGGGACTGGGGCCGGATCGCGACCGCGAGCGAGCCGAGCTGGCTGCCGACGGCGGCGCGACCGGCTCAATGGATTGGAACGGCAGCCCAGTGGAGGCTGGTGCTCAGGGCGACAGCGGCGGCGCTCCAGTACGGCTGCTGCGGTGGTGGCTGCTCCGTCAGATGGTTCTTGGTTCGGAAACTCCAGGTGCCGTACCCCGTACGGCATTAGTGAAAGGCAGTACGGCAGCGGCGGTGGCCGAAGGAGAGCTTTTCGTCGATCTGGTGGAGTCGTGCTTGCAATTGGACCCGATGTGCCGCCCCACGGCTGAGCAGCTGCTGCAGATGCCGTACCTAGTTTCGTACAAAGCGGCAGAAGCAGCAGCGGGAGGGCGCAACAATGTGGATCCAATGCTTGGCGGCTCCGAAAATACAGCGGAAGCAGCGGCGGCAACGGCGACGGCGGTTACCAAAGCCAAAGCAAGAGCTGTTGCTTGTGCTGACGCCGCCGCCGCCGCCGCCGCGGCGGAATGTCCGTCGTCTTTGTTTATGAATGCCAGTCCCCCGCAAGATATCGCGTCCGCCGGCCAAGAGTCCTTCGTGCCTTGCACACCGTCCGACTTTGCTGCAGCCGCCGCCACCGCTACAGCCGCTGCCTCAAGCTGGCGTGCCACGTCGGAAGTCCTGTTCGTTGCGAAGGTCCACGATACGGCGCCTTCGCCGACGGGCATGTACGACAGCAGTCGTACTCGGCGACAGATGTCGCGCCTTGGGTCCTCTGTTGAGCAGGTAGTAGAGCCGCCGCCGCCGTCATGCCCGGCAGCGGCGGCTGAAGGGACTCCAAGCGGCGGCGGCAGTAGCAGCACAGCTGCCGTGTCGGCCCACCAACTGCGGCCTGATTCAACCAATTTTTTTGCGGCAGCTGCCGTTGACACTTTTCAGCTCAAGGGTGGTACGGCAGCAGTGCCGGCAGCGGCGGCAGCGGCAACGTCCAGCAACGCGCCTTGGCCCCCTTCTAGTGCCGCCGCCACAGGCCGCTCAGCACCGCACGCAAGCCATCTTCTCCGTGACGTCAAGTACGGCAGGAATGCCGCCGCTGCCGCCGCCGCCGCCACCCCAACGGAAGCTGCGGCGACCGGCCGCCGGCCGGCTGCTTCATCCGCCGTCGCCTCCGCTGCCATTCGTTCACCTGCTGCTACTGCTGGCGGCGGCGGCGGCGGTAGTGATGGTTGCGCTACAGCCGACCTGCGGCCGCGGCCACCCTGGAGTCGTACCAGGGACAGGGGCGGTAGTCATCGCCGTGGCTCTGAGAGTGCCCTGGACTTGTCATTGCTACTGCTGCAAGGGGATGCCAACGTGACGGCACGCTACAACCAGCAGCAGCAGCAGCAGCAGCGGTACGAGCTGCAACCGCGGCTCAGTCCCGAGCGTAGGTCGCTGCCTCTGGTTTTGATGACGCAGCAATTCCTGAACCATCGGCTCCAGAACCAAGGCAATCTGAGGGCCCTGCAGGGCCAGCAGCTGGGCGTCCCCGGAGTGCCGCGACACGAGGGGGATGTGGGGGGAGAGGAGTACGACCTGGTGAGTTGTCGTACGCGTACACATACACATACACATACACATACACACGTCAGGCTGTGGTGTACGGAACAAGACAAGTCGGGGTATTTATATTGCAGTTTCCGCTACCATTTCCGTGCCATTTCCGTACATTTATTCAACCACCCGCAACGCGCGTGCTACACGACTTGTACCGTTCTGCACGTGGGCGACTAGAGAGCGGTATTGGTCGTTGCATGTGTATAATGACGGACCGTCCACCGTACATTGCCTGTCGTACATCGCCCACTGCGAACGCAGGTACCCCCAGGGGAGTGCGGTCCGGAACGGGAGGACGCCTCCGCCGCCGTCACCGCCCTTACATCCGCCGTGGCTTTGAACTCGTCTGGAGCCACCGTCAGCGGTGGCGGCGGCGGAGCATCCGTCGCCGTACTCCGGACGTTCAAGCCGCCGCCGCCACTGCTGATTAATCCCGACAGCTGGGCACCTGGAGGCGGCGGCTCCGGTATTCCTTCCGGCGGCAGCGGCGCCGCCGGCACCAGCGCAGCCTATTCGGCGCCAGGACACCTCTTCTTCCGCGACGGCGGCTTGTCGCCCTCATCAGCCAGTTGCCGTACCCAGACGGCAGTCCTACTGCCCAGTCCGCAACAGCAGTTTGTGCCGGCATTGACACTGCGCGATGGTGATGCAGAGCGAGCATTACGCACAGCGGCCGCGGCTCGGGCGCAGGAAAGCGGTGACGGTGGCGGCGGCAGCAACAGGGAGGGCCGATCGGAGCCGCTGATGCTTCTGGGCGGCGGCGGCGGCGATGGCGATCATTACGCCGTACAGGCTTTACTATCCTCTCAGGCCTACTGCTTCCAGCGGCTCAAAGAGCAGGAGGCCGCTGCTAGCGACCCACGGGTCTCGGTTCCGTTGCTTAGGAGCTCCACACCCCTGACACGGCAGCGACATACATACGCACAACCGACAATACCCTGTAACCTAAACTTAGCTACGTCGCTGCAACTGAACCGAGGAGGAGGAGGAGGAGCATTGGCGGCGGCGGCGATTCAATCTGCGGTCCTCGGCGGCCAGGCCGACAGGTCGACGCGGCGCAGCAACTCGGAGTCGCAGCTCGCAGTATCCCCGGGAGACCCGTGGGTCGGTGATTGCGGCGGCGCCGGTGGCGGCGCTGCGGTGGCAGGAGCAATAACTTTGACAGCGCGTTATGTGCGGCGGCGGAGTCTTGCCATGATGGCTGCACAGGCGTCGGGCTCGGTGGGCGGCGGCGGCGGCAGCGGCGGCATCAAGGTGGGGGATGCAGGGGCAGCAGTAGCTTCGGACGCAGAACAGGAGGCTGTAGCAGGCGGCAGGGACATGTGGCCCACCTTGAGTCGCATGCAGCCATGGTCCGGCAAATTAGCTGACAGCGGCGGCGGCGGCAGCAGCGGCAGCCGTGGCCCGCTACCGCGGCTTCTCAATGTGCTGCAGCGGGAGCTCATTGCGCAGCAGCAGCACCTGCCCATGTATAGCTCCGTCGGCGGCGGCAGCGGCGGCGGCGGCAGCACCTTTCCCCGTTCGTACACTCTGTCTGACAGGGAGCTGATGCACACGCTGCCGGAGGTGGCTGAGTCCAGGGGGTGTAGCGAGGTCCTTCTGCCCGCCATTGCCTCCGCCAAGCACACGGCCAGCGGTGGCAACGATGCCGCCGCCGCCGCAATACCAGAGCTTCCGCCGCCAGATTTGCAGCACCAAACGGCATCGCGGCTTGCTGTACCAAACAACACGGTTTCCGACTGCGGCGCCAGCTGCACATTGAACGGCGGCGGCAGCGGCGGCGGCACGTTGACGCCGGCGGCGGCCGCCGCCGTGAAGGGTTTGGCGCAGCGGGCTAAAGAGCGGTTTCGGCAGTACTTCAGTGATGACGGCAGCATCGCGAGCGCAGCCGCCGCCGCAGCCGCCGCTGCCGGAGGTCTAGGCAGCAGCGGCGACGCCGCCGCGAGGCCGTCTGGCGGCAACACAACTGGCGGCGGCGGCGGCGGCGGCGGCGGCGGGAGAAGCGCCCGAAGCAAGCGGCCGTTCATGAGCACCATCTCACGCGCGCTCAAATTGGGCAGCTCCATTCGTCAGCGTGTCACTCCTGAGAGGAAGAAGGAGGCGCCTTAGTCGCGGCAGCTCCCCTCCGGACTAGTCCGCTCGCCTAGTACTCTTGATATAAATATCTTTACTAGTGTCAGTTGAAGCCGTTGGATCGTTCGTTGGCCCCTAACCGGTTTTTTTATAGGAGCTGAGGTGACATCTAAAGAAACATCGAAAATACTTGCACCTACAGTGACACGTCTGTGGATGGTTTCGGAGGGCGGGTGTAAGGGGAGGAGCCGTGTCGTGGACTGGAATGAGTTGGTGGAATAGTGGAACAGCTGATATTCACGAAAAATGGAATTGGACGGAGACGAGGGGCCGGATTCTCTTTTTGTGCAAGTATAAGGGGCCTTTTGCAAGTTATGCGGTTGTAGCAATGAAGTGATTTTTACTTGACGGCTGGATCTTGTGCTAGCTGTTGGCCTACTAGGTTATTAGCAGCACTTTTGACTTTTTGAGTTGGATCTGGACGGACGTATATTCGAATCCAAGAACGATGTTGCTGACCTTGGCTAAGTTATGTTGTAGATGTACTTCTTAACTATAATTTGAATGTGATTTGAAAAATGATGATGTTTATGTTGATGTTGGTGTTGGTGATGATGTTGTGTGTTGTCTTCAAAACAGTCAGGGCTTTAGGGAACATCTGTCCGCCAAGATGATCTTCATGCAAATGCGTACGAGAGGTAGCCGTGAGATCCAAGATCCGAAATCCATGGCGATCCACAAAATCCAGGAAGCTTGTTTTATTTGGCGGTGCTACCGCTGCAAGGCGGTTACAAATGGACCTACATACATACATGTTTGACCATGTAGGGCGAGTACATGTACGTGAGGTACGCGTACGGAGGGTGCATGTACGACACGGAGGTCACTTCCGACGGCAGGTTGCGTATAGATCGATGAAAATTAATGGTGCAGAGGGCAACCGCCAACTAACACCGTCATGCCGTGATATGACGTCACTATTACAGAATTTATTTCTTCACCAGCTGGATTTTCTCATGAACATGTTTTTTATGCATGTAGTGTACGATTTGTACGAAGAAGGGGGGACGAGGATTATCGGCAAGGGTTGGCGGCTTTGTTTAATCTGCTTGGTTTGTGAACATGATGATCAAATCCTCTATGGATACGTCCTCTCGATATGGTCGTACGATGCATGGTCGTACAGTTCGTACGGGTTTACCATCAGGTGCAAAATAGAAACACATACACTGATGGTGAACAACGAGAGGGGAAACATGCGGACGGAGAGTCGCTGGCGGCGGGTTGGAGTAGATATAAGTAGGTATAAGACTTGTAGAATGGGAGGGAATGGAGGTTTTTTTTATTGCCGTTGAAGGGGTTGGCCCACACGCCTAAAAAGAGTCCGCCATGCTGCCCAGCACGGTAATACGGCTCCAGTCAGTTCGGGTGGGCGACCCGACCCATTTAAACTTGTCTGAATGGTTCTATCTCCTATCGTAAAATGCCCTAGACGGTTTAAACTGTGTACAGCACTGTACGGCAGGGGATGAGGTCGGTCGTGTGACGAGTGTGTATACTTAGTCATGTATCGTACAATCCATGGGGCGTACATTCGCTTATTGTCACATATCCGATGCGCGCCGCTGCTTACCTGCTCAGTGTCGATTAGGTTATATATAGTGTCAAGATGCAGTTGGTATGGCTTTACCGTATGACCGTTGCTAGGGCTGCTGCTGGTGCTGCTAGCATGGCTATTGCTGCTATTGCTACTAGTGTGTTTTGCTAGTGTTACAAATGCTGCTAGTGCTGAAATCGTTGCTGAGGGCAGATCTGAACAAAGTCGACCCGTTAGCAGGAGGCCGTTTTCACAAGCCGTTTGCTGCTCTCATACATATACATACATACATACACATAGGAGGGGCAACTTCCTTTCATGATTGCACCGTTACGCTGCTGAATGTTAGGGTGGCCAATCGGCTTATTGGCCCTTGGACTTATTGCACCATATGCTCACCGTGCTGTCCACATGCACCATATATTACACTCTGTCATAGAGCCACCACTGGGGTGTGTGGTGAAGTACGACGTCACAGGCGAGAGACCTATGTCACGCCACATGACGTGCTAACAGACACAAGAAATGCGGATGGATCACGTCGTGGTGGTGCGGTCGTCCCGGCCTCGTGCACCCCAAAAGGATAAGCAAGCTCAACAAGGTAGCAAGCGAAAGGGGAAAAGGCGAAGGCATAAATCTTTATTTGTATGTGCGAATGATGTGCACAAATCAGAATGCCAAGAACGGTGTGCAAAGCATGTTATTAGTAGTATGAATCGATGTCATCTGTATGCCATCATCAAGCCCGAAAGGCAAATTTGGAAGGCAAAGTCGCGGCCCCTCCGCCGCAAGATTACGTTGCACCAGGCCATGTGCCCGAAAGGCCGCGCTCCATGCACTACTTCCTCGCAAGCAACGATGAAAGAAGCATCCATCCACATTTATTGCTTACGACGCCGATGGGCATATGCATCGAAAGAAATCTCCTCCTCGCCCTTGCACTCCTCCCACGATGAAAGAAATTTCCGTTATTTTACTGCACAAGACGACGGCAAGAGTACGTATACATATTTATCAACCGCCCATACTACTTTCAATATGCCGTACACCGTACACCGTCCGTTTTCAAGCCGTACATCAAACGCCCATGTGCCGGCGAATCCCACGAGGCTTTTCCTTTTCACATCGCCAAGTTGAGTCAAGGGCAGATGTCCCTGACCGGTAAAAGGCTTTCCATCCCGTGGCCTCGTGCATGCGGGCCGGGGGCCCTGGCATCATATATAATACCCCCACCACAACACCAACGAACCCCCAACGACGACTTCAGCAAGGCTAACGCCAACGACAATGGCGATGGCGAATCAATCCCCTCCTTAGGGTGGTCGGATATACGTACTGACAAACCGCTCTATGGATGGATGGATGGGTAATTGCATGACAGGTATGCCATGCTCAATGTCGTAATACGTTTGCTAGGAAAGGCAAGCCATCAGTACCGCAATACCACTATCTCCCCCACCCTCTCATTCCCCTCCGGCCCAGGTATAGGACGAGGGACCCTCCCCTCTGGTGGCCGACTCGGCTACACAAACCCGGGACCATATACGACTCCAACGGGGTCTAAACGGCGGTCATGGAACCCCTACCCTACCCTGCCCTACCCGACCCAACCCAACCCCACCAGGCGCCGAGATGCATCGGGAGCGACCGCAAAATATTAACACCCCAACCCTAACCCTTTTTTTACGCGTTCTCCTTTTTCTCAAGTTCTGTTAAAATCCGGCTAATAAAAGGATGCTTCGCAGAGACGTCGAAACCCCAAAAGCGCACGACCACCTCAACCACCTCAACCACCTCAAACAATCACATCTGATGATGATAATTACCGACCCCGACCCCGTCCCCGGTCCCGGTCGCTGTCCCGGGGCCCCCTAGAGCACGTTGGTCACATCCGTGGAGTGTTTTCGCGCCTCCATGGAGCCCTCTCTGAGCCACTGCTCATGTCGCTGGGCGTCCAGGTCTGTGGCTGTGGCGGACAGCACGTTGTTGGCATCCACAGTGAGGGTGATCTCGATGCGGGGGTTGCCGCGGGGGCCTGCAGGGGAGAGGACGTAGTGGTGTAAAAGTAATGGAGACTTGGGGTTGAGGCAGGTACTGCAAGAGGGTTTCCGTACAGTGAACTTTACTACCGCATTCCCAAACCCCGGCGGCACAAAACATACAAAACACACACAGAAAACAAACATACAAACATACATACATACATGCGTACGTACCCGGCGGCAGGCCCTTGAGGTCGAATTGGCCCAAGACGTTGTTGCGGCTGGCAGCAGTCGCATCGCCCTGCGGGGGTTTCCCGGGGGTGGTGGGGGGTGGGAGAGTGTTAGGGTACGTGGCGGGGAGACTGGGTATCAACTTGGATTTCGGGTTTCGGACGACTTATGGCTTGAACCCGTGTGGTGGATGTGGAGTATGTGTGCGTGGGATGGTGGGTGGGTGCGTGTCAAGTTGTGGGAATAATTGGTATATATTGGGATATATATAAATAAATAATATTTGACTATTTCTTGAGGATTTTTAATTCTTTTTGTTAGGATTTGGCGGCGTTTTCCCGCGCCTCAGTAGGTCGCCGAGGTGCGACTCTTCCTCCTCCCTTCCACGACTAGGCCGCCGCTTCTCCTCCTTCGTATCTGTCGCCTTCCCTCCTCCCGCTCCTCTTCTTCCCGCCTTGCCGCCTTTAGCACCCCTCTCCCGCTTCCCCCCCTACACACACACACACGCTCACACACACACATACTCACCCTAAGTACCAGGACACAGATTTCCGTCTGGTTGTCGTGAACCTGTGTATGGAGGGGGAAGAGCGGGGGGAAGGAAGGGGAGATAGGGGTTGATTTGGTGGACGGAGACGGCCTCGAGCTCTCGAGTCTGTTCCTTCGACACACACACACACACACACACACACACACACACACACACACACACACACACACATCCCAACCCAAAACGTTGGTAGAGGCACTCGGATGGGTACCCACCCCCCCGGGATAGCTTACCTTTCTTTCCCCCCCTCCCACATAACATATAAACAAAATACCCACACCTACCCACAGGTACACCCACACCCACACCCGCACCCACACCCACACCCACACGCACACGCACACGCACGTCCCTGCTGCGTCTTCTTATCCCGCCCTCCCTCAACCCCCCCCCCACCGTTGTGAATATCTGTTTGCCGGTGGCGGGTAGCGGCGCATCCGAGGGTATGAGCACGTAGGTTCGGTCGCCCATCATCTGCACCCCCAGCGCCGGGCGCCTGGGTGGCAGCTTCCAGCCCTTGTAGTCGCGGTTGTACGTGGAAGAGCCATCGAAAGAGGCCGTGGGGCGCATGGGAGGCAGCGACTGCACGGCACAATGGGGGAGATGTACGGCGTAACTGGAAGTGTACGTGTGTTTATGTACTGTGGTTAGCCAGGATCGGGGTGACTGGGTGACACACACACGTACACGTACACGTATACGTACAAGCACACGTGCACGCACACGCGGCTTGGTTCATTTAATCACATACAGACACAGGCATACATACAGACAGACACACGTACACACGTACGCAAGCCCACCTGCGGCCGCTGCAGAGCTGACGGGTCGACGGGCCAGGGCTGGTACTGGTCGCGTGTCTCCGTGTTGCTCTGGAAGGGCGCTGGGTTGGGCTGGTACTGGTTGGGGGGCATGGGGGGCCGGGGCTCCATGGGGTGGGCCCGGTAGTCATCCCTGGAGCAGTGTGGAGAGCGGGGGGAAGGGAGGGCGGGGAAAGGCGGGTGGGGCTGTGTGCGTGTGCGTGTGCCTGTGCCTGTGCCTGTGTGTGTTTTCTCTCTCGTCTCCCCTTTTTTCTCCCGTTTCTCCCTTTTCTCCCTTTTCTCTCTCCCTTCCCGCTCCACCTCGCCTTGCGCGACAAGGCGTCCTTCCCCCCGACAAGGCGCTCACTTGTAGAGAGTCTGTCCGTCGAAGGGAGCCGTGTTACGGACCGGCGCGGTGGGAGGGGCCGGTGCGCGGGGTTCGATTTGGTGCGGCTTGTAATCCGCCTGCAGCGGCGGGTTGGGGCGGGGGTAGGGGCGGGGCTTAGTGTGGCGGGTTGAGGGAGAGAAGATGAAGTGAATGGGAGGTCGGGTGGAGGGTACAACCTAGCATCCGTATGGCTGTCATGTACTGCAACTTGTACGGCATCCGTACACCTATGTGACACCCGCTTTTCCGTGTCAAAAGTTTTTTCACCTTGTAGTGGGTGGTGCCGTCAAAGGGTGCCGGGTTCGGTTGGTACGACCCGGCGTTGTACGGCTGCCGCCGCTCCAAGGGATGTTGCGTGAAGTCTTGCTTGTACGACGTGTTGCCATCAAAGGGTGCTGTGTTGGGATTGTACGGCCGTGGCGAAACGGCAGGCCTGGGCTCGATGGGGTGACCTCGGTAGTTTTCCCGATTGGTCGTCGTGCCTGCGCGCGCCCAATGATGGATGGAGGGCACCGAGCCATACAACGCAAAAGGGGTCAAAAAGACGTCAAGCACATGCACGCTCCGATACGGAAAAATAAAAAACCAGACCACATAAAACAATTCTGGAAAGGAAATAAAGATATCATGAGCCGGAGTGGAACCTACGGATACTACAGAAGCATAAAGGATGGCGTCAAGGGTTTGCGGACAGCTCAACCTAATAAGCATTAGGGCTATATGGGGCCTTATGGACCTCCTGAGAGGTTACCGGGGAGCTGGGCGGCCTAGGTGTGTGCGAAACGGACCGTCCCTGGGCTGAACATCCATGTGCGTTACCGAAGATTAGCTGAACCGGGTAACGTAATCTTAGAGAACAGCGCAAGCTCCGTGTCCAATGTTATCTTGAGAACCGATGCTGCAATAATGGCAGCACGTTGCAGTGCCAGGATTGCAAACGGCTTGCGAGACACGTACCATCAAATGGTGCAGGGTTAGGCTGCCACTGGGGCCCCGTCGCAGGGGGTCGCGGCTCTATTGAATGCTGTCGGTAGTCTTGCTTGTAGCATGAGTTGCCATCGAAGGGTGCGGGATTGCCTGTTTGCGACGATGGCCGACATCACAGCTTTGTCATGATTTTCCACTCTCGACTGGCAATTATTGAGCTGCATCTGCGCACTGGTTTCTACATTATGAAATCCTCACCTGCATATTGCCGCTCAGCGACAGGAGGCCGAGGTTCGATAGGATGGGGAGTGAAATCCGACAGGTAAGATGTATCCCCCTGAAATCTAGGTTGAGCTCCGTAAAGCTGGATTTCGCGTCCAACATAATGCGCTCGGTAGGGATCTTGCTGAGTGCTCATGGTAACTGTTGTCTGTTCAGTGTTTTTTTCCTCTGCAAGGGACTTATTTGCTTTACCGAGGGCTAAGAATAATTGTTATGCGTATACACTATCCGGAAACTAAGCTTCCACGATAAGAATGGTCTAAGGCCCCACGAATCCGAAACCGACCCATGAGGCCAGCCGTGATCAATCGCAAGTTGGCAACACGAACTTCCAGTATTTCGCACACCTATATGATCACATCTACTTGACCAGGAGAAAGGTGTTATGGGAATTCTGGAAGCCAACCGTTAACTTTCTCTACAAGTTCCAGACATGGTTGGGCTGAGTGCGCATTTTGTTTCCCAGCACACGTGCCAGCATGTGCCAAAAACCTTCATAGATAGCCCATGGGTTGCTGTCAGGTTGCTGTGTAACGGCTAAAGAGCTGTTGTCAAGCGGCTGTCCAAACGACCGTCCGTAACGAAACTAAACTAAAACCTTCACAGGCGTCGGCGTGTGAACGTAAAATGCATAACGCTAACTTCTCCGTCCACAAAATGCTGTTACGGTGATTTCTTCAGTCTTTCGATTCTGTCCTGCCCGTTCCGTCAATCTGGGAGCGCCTGCTGGAAGCGCGAGGCGGGTTAGGACTGGTGAGGTTAATCCTCCTTCTTAAGACTTGCAATGCAAAGCAAAAGCTCTCAAAGGGAAGCACGGCGCCTCAGGGCCCTCCAGCCTCCAGACCTCCACCAGGCGTTCAAGGAGATAGATGTGCTCCAGGGGATGCAAAGAGCTGCCCAACCCGCCTTCGACATTCCAACTTTTAAGTCTTCCAGATCTAACAACCCAACCACCCCATAAGCTATAGTGACGCAACTTAGGGTATCAAGGCATACATCTACTGCAGATCAGATCTGGTTAGGAGAGGTCTTTGCCGGCGGGATGTGGCGCGTCCATTGTAGCCCCGTCCTTAGCGTAGCCTCCTTTCAATACCAGGTGGACGTAGGTGTGGAGGTAAGTGTGTTGGGCAGGTAATTAAGGGTACCTTAGGCCTTGGGCAGGTACATTTAGTTTAGGTAGATTAGGTAGGTAGGCAGACAGTTTAGGTGCTTACATGTAAGGTAGTTATGTACGAACGTACCTACCTGTCTTTCTCCTTTCTTTGTGCCCTGATTGCTACAAAAGACGTGCAACTCGTCCTCGACTTCTCCACAGCGACAAAGCCTAAATTTAGGCTTTAAAGGTACACACGGCGCGCGGGCAGCGAATAGGCCTGTAAACCTCTAGATCCCAACTTCTTAATCTGTGCAATGGCCTAGGTAGCACAGACCCGGTGTGCGCGTTTGCCACACCGGCCGTGCTCCTTAACTATGGGGGATGATCCCATCCAGTTCAGACACCGGCATGTGCTCTCGTAACTCCATCCGGTGACTCCGGTGGGAAAACCCCCGGGGCCGGCTATGGGGTGTTAGCACACACGTCCGACGTGTGTGGAGTCCACACCGCATCGACCCGCCTCGAGAACTCTTTTAGAGTATCATTAATAGGCAGCTCAACGCACTTAAAGCATAATGCGCAACCAAACCCTCGCCCTGTGGAGGGCCTCGGCAGGGTTTAACGCGCCCACACTGGCCAGGAAGGCAATGACTTTTCCTCAATTATTAGTGGTCATTCTGGGCCAGCTCAAGAGGACGTGATGCCGCCTCTATAGTGGTGCATCACGAGAGCGTTAGGGAAGCCATGTGGTGAAGTCCTGTGCGAAAAAGACCGCTTGCAAGTGTATTCAAGGATTAGCTAGGGACACAAGGAAGTGGGGAGCCAGGAGTCCAACCAGGTAGTAGGTATTTTACAGCGAGAGCCCCCCAGATAGGCCCCAAGGGAATATGTACCCCAGCAATAGGGTGGTAAGGCTGTTGGAAGTCGCGAGCCACAACGGACCGTGCACTGCATTGCTCTGCACTGGGAATCTTGAGGTGAGCGCGCACACCTTGAACAGCAATACAGCAATACATCACCCAGAAGTCTGCAAACCCGTATGCGGAGTACCTCTTGACTATATCTGCGGCAGTTAATCGCTTGTGAACGCTGCTGCTACGTCTGGCCTCCTGTCACGCAGCGTCCAGAAAGGAAAAAGGAAACGGCAATCACGCACATGCATGTATGGCGAAATGGTCCGTTGGTTGCACGGTCTTCAACGACTGAACACTGGAGTATTGTTTGGACATGCTCGTGTTAATATATATATGGAAAATGGATAAGTTTATTGTGCTGCCATTTATTAAGTAATAGATGCTGGCGAAATGGCGGGGAAGCCGTGAACGAAGGCGGGCGCGACAAACAACCAATTGCCAACCAATTGCAAGACGAGAGGTGTCAAGAAAGCGGGACTGAGACAGACACCACAGGATGGCCTCTGCCTCTTTTATTACTGCAAAATAGTGTTAGTGCGATCTCAGGGCATGTGCCTCGGTTGGCGCGCTTTACCGTCAGCTACTTCGGAAGGTGACGACGGCACCAGTCAAGCTAAGGCGGGCGTCGGGACACGGGCAGCAGGCCACCGACCTCTGAACTGCTACTTGTATGTACACACGTTGACCAAAATAAGCAAATTCAAAGACACTCTAGATATCAATAATTTGCACTGTCTTTGCTGCTGCCTTTCGTAGAAGATGAAGGTTACTATGTCTACCACGAAATGTTTAGTACATTTTACATGCCTCTCAGGAATTTTACTCCCGCTATTTCACCTGACACACCAACAAGAGCTCGTGAATCTAAATAATGGTACCGACGACGTTGGTGGCGATGCGGATGTTGTGCCGGGACGAGTAATTGTAACCGTTAATGGAACCCAAGTCGCGGATGTGGCCGGTGATGACATCGAATTCATCCGCAACATCATAGTTTGCCCTGGGCGCACCTACAACATAAGTGTAAGGGGCGGGAGCATGGACGGGGAGCATGACTAGTGTGAATTCGTGTGAAAGCGCGAATCAAGGGTCCTGCTGCCTCGCTCGCTCGCCCGCGGCTGGCGTAACCCATCAGGACTCGGAGCTTTCATAAAGCGGCTGCCCAGCGGTTGCCCAGCAGCCGTGTCAGGCAAAATGAATACCCGCCCTATCTAATCGCAACATGCATGTGTGTGTGTGCGTGGATTGCTTCTGTTGCTGATGGGCGTCGCATAGGGCAAGCAACCATCCAAATAGCACGGGTAGCTCGCTCACCTTAAACTTCGCGCTGTGAGGTCATCGGCAGCTAATAAAGCACACGCACGGAACCGCGCCATCACGCGCTATCTCCACCTCCTCAATGTGGCATAGCTCATAGATAGATAGTAGTTATGCATCGGACTGCTCGAAGGACTTACTATACGGCGCCCAAACGTACAGTACGGCCTGGCCGAGCTCTTTTTGAATAAGGCCCACAGTGTTGTGTGGGAGGCATTCCTAGGGGCGCTGCACTCGACCCGTTCGGGGTCCACTGTAACAATCGCATTCCAAACATACATACACGCGGTCCAGTCGACCCGGGTTCAAATCCGCCTGCCAGCTCCTCGGGTGTTTGAGGAGTGATGAAATGGGAGGTGGCCCCCCATCATATGGACGGTGTAGGACGTGATAATATCAACTTGCGAGCTGACCAGGAACTAAGTTGATGCGCCGTTGATCCGCTAGATTTGGTTGGATGCTGGTGGTGAGTTGCCGAACCCAACGAATACATTCTGAAGTCGGATGGGGTGACGGATTAGGGTGCCCCTCTAGCAGGGGAGAGCAGGGACTGCCCCGGGAAAGGGGGCCGCTGGCGAAGTTAACCACCCTGTAACAACATACATACACGCCCATACATAAGTTAGGCACTACTGATAACGCGCGACCATTGCCCCCGGGAGATCCCGGGATCTAGTCCAATGAAAGTCATAAATCGTTCCGATGGTGGAAGGTATAGAGCCCCTAGATTATGGACGGTGGTGACCCGGGATAAAGCTAACCTGCGAGCCGTCCAGGAACGGAGTTGGGCCGCTGTCGACCCGGCTGTTTCCGTTGGATGCTGGTGGTGGGTGCGTAACCTGAGCGATCCACTGAGAAGTTGGCTAGGGTGATTGGATGAGGGTGCCCCGAAATACCGGGGAAGGCAGGGTTTCGTAGGGTAGCTGCTACGGGTGAAGATATACCCCCCTGTTTCACACATCATACATACATACCTACTCCCTCGCGATCTATTCATCCACTATTTCCACTGCGTGTGCATTAATATGTAGGTAACGGATGAGACGGCGTCAACAAATATTAACGCTACCATGGAGCTCAGGGTCCCCTGTTGTGATAACAGCACAGATTTTGAGTTCATGACTTTCCCCCGCACCTGGATCGATACCACCATTGCCTCGGGGTATAATGTCACCAGGTAGGTGTGTGGCGGCAGGCAGGCAGCAGCTTGCTTCCTGCAGGGCGGACATATCAGCACATACAGTGCTACCACTGTGATGGCGATCAGATCAGCCAGCATGGCGATGAGGGGTCTAAGGACTATTGGGAGCCACCAGGCGATGTGACGATGGAAAAGAAGAGGGGAATCCAAGCAAAGCAGCCTCTGGCGCAGCACCTACAGTAGCACCGTACTCTCACACCCACTAGGTGCTGGGGGATATGGTATACATCATCATGCGTGGATTACCACGAACTGCCCCAGTGCTGCTATGCATGTACCAATAAATGCCCAGCCAAGCAACGTTGCCTAGCCCCCTAGGGTGTGGATCCTGGCTGGGCTGACATACAAATGTGTCTCCGCTCCTACACGGAATGCAACGCGCATGGGGCGCGAGACTTATTGTATCACGTCTTATCGCAGGAAAAGAACCGATCGGCGGATGTCAATCCCGTGATACCCAGGATACTACAAGACTGGAGAGCCCTTAGCTTGGGTTCCCTGATAAACCGGTGTGTTGTGATCAATGCGTTCCAGGACTACCAAACTGATGTACACTACGAACGCTAGCTGCATCGCAAACAGCTGCTTCGCAACATCATCAACAACGTATATCCCACCGAGGCCTGGGACTGCCATCGCCCACGGGGTCTTGATGACGGTGGCCTGGGTGCTGCTGCTGCCGCTGGGGGCTCTGGTCCCGGCGCACAGGTATACATGGGCGGTCGCGTCTGGCATGGAAGGCCGGGGGCAAGTGGATGCGAACGCATCGCAGGATGTACAAAGGCCGGCAGGAAGAGACTTGCTGAGATATACGGCGGGCAAGGCATGAACGGACGCACGTCAACCTGTTATGCTACATCGCCACGACTGCATCGCCACGAGGCTGGGGCGCTATCAGCAGACACAATAACAATATTAATATTAATAGTAATATTACGACCGCCTTTGGCGCCATGGAGGGAGTCTTACTGTCTGATAAAACTTGGCATGGGCATAGCTTTCGCTGGGGTGCTGCTTCCATAACTCCTACCGACCACACACATAAAATCGCACGACTGCTGCCGGCGGTCAGAAAACAGGAGCAGACACGATTCATTTACTAACCGGCTAGATCGAGCAGGGTTGAAAGTTCGTTTCTTATCCCCGACAGCCCCTTATTACTTCCTTGCGCGCGTTTCGATGCATGTGGATGGTGCGGTCGGTGTTCCTATTAATGCTGATGACAGATGGCTCTTCCCGGACCGGCTGTACGGCGGCTCCCAGCTGTGGTTCTGGGTTCACATTGCAGCCCAGCTATTTGGGCTGCTGCTGTTCCTTAGCAGCTTCATCCTGGCGCTGGTAACGTTTAAGAGGAAGCCAACAGGAATGGACGACTCGGTGTACTTGGCGCACAGCCGCATGGGGTGAGTGATGAGCAGTTTTTCAGCAGGTCAGAGTGCACAAATAGCTCAATTGTTTAGCCAGTGCTCCTTGTTTGGATGGAGGCACGTACAACGAATGAGTTACTGTATATACATGTGTATAGAGGTCTGGACTATAGAAGCTTTTGAAATCTTACTGTGTACACCTAGCGTACATGTGTCCCCAAGTCCCCAACGCTCCATTCCCATCCATCCCGTCCTATGGCATAAAAGGGTCGGCGGTAACCGGTCGAATGTATGCCATAGCGCCAACTGACTGTATGTACCACGCATGCAAGCCCGCCCTACCCAACATAAACCTCGACTACCGACCATCCCATCTAAATACCATCTGCTTGCACCATGCAGGTACTTAGTCGCAGCACTTGCCGGTTTGCAGCTCCTGGTTGCATGCTTTCGGCCCCCCAAAATGCCACCGTATCCCGAGACAGAAATAATCGGCCCAGCAGCGACAGCTGCCAGCGTCGTGGAAATGCAGCTGGCAACGGAAAACCCTGACGCACCGGCGGCAGCAGCAGCAGCCCCACACGGGCCGCAAACCACAGCAGCCCAGCAGCGGCAAGAAGGGCTGCGGCAGCAGCTGATGATACATGAACTGTATGAGCAACGGAAACGTGCCGGCAAGGTACGCAAGTACTTGTGGAACCCCTTTCACAGAAACTGCGGCCGCGGAGTCATCTTGCTCGCATGGGCCACTTTGTTGACGGGTATTGCACTGCACCACGGAGCGCCGTACAATGCACCCGTCGCGCCGTGGGCAGCCCCGGCCATAGTCGTCATGGTGTCGATGCTGCTAGCGGACCGTTGGCTCACAGATGTCGGCAAGGACTTGGCGGAAGAAGAGATGGCGAAGGCAAATGCAGAGTGGCGGCGGGAAGAGGGTGCCGCGGCGATGATGATGGAGGCGTAGGTCGGTTGACATTAAGGCCAGACTTCTGCTCCCAGATTGTCCGGGATCAAATCTGCCTGCCGGCTCCTCGGGGGTCTAAGGAGTGTGGAAATGGGAGGTGGCCCCCCATCTTATAGACGGTGTAGACCGTGATTATATCAACTTGCGAGCTGACCAGGAACTAAGTTGAGGCGCCGTTGATCCGCTAGATTTGGTTGGATGCTGGTGGTGAGTTGCTGAACCCAACGAATACATTCTGAAGTCGGATGGGGTAAACGGATTAGGTTGCCCTTCTAGCAGGGGAGAGCAGGGAACTGCCTCGGCAGGTAACCGCCAAAATAAATCATCCGAACGGAAGAAATCGCCATTAATCAGGCATACGGCCGGCGGCTGGAAGAGGTTAAGGCCTGACTTCTGCTCCCGGCCCGCCCGGGTTCAAATCCGCCGGTCGGCTCCTCGGGGATCTAAGGAGTGTGAAAATTGGAGGTGGTCCCCCATCTTATAGACGGTGTAGGACGTGATAAGATCAACTTGCGAGCTGACCAGGAACTAAGTTGAGGCGCCGTTGATCCGCTATATTTGGTTCGATGCTGGTGGTGAGTTGCCGAACCCAACCATCTGAAGTTGGATGGGGTGACGGATTAGGGTGCCCCTCTAGCTGGGGAGAGCAGGGACTGCCCGGGAAAGGGGCCGCTGGCGAAGTTAACCACCCTGTAACAACATACATACATGGCATATTCTAGGGTTTGGCACTACTGATAAGGCGTGACCATTGCCCCCGGGAGATCCCGGGATCGATACCCCATTAGGGTCAGAAGTCCTTCCGGTGGTGGAAGGCATTGCGCCCCTGGTCGATGGACGGTAGTGACCTGGGAAATAGATGACTCGCGAGCCGACCAGGGATGGAGTTGGGCCGCTGTCGACCCGGCAGATTCCGTTGGATGCTGGTGGTGGGTGCGGAACCTGAGCGATTCAATGAGAAGTTGACTAGGGTGACTGGATGAGGGTGCCCCGAAATACCGGGGAAGGCAGGGTTTCGCAGGGTAGCTGCCACGAGCGAAGATACACCCCCCTGTTTCACACATACATACATGGCAGGCAGCAGGCAGCAGGCAGCAGGCAGCAGGCAGCAGGCAGCAGGCAGCAGGCAGCAGGCAGCAGGCAGCAGGCAGCAGGCAGCAGGCAGCAGGCAGCAGGCAGCAGGCAGCAGGCAGCAGGCAGCAGGAAGACGTGGAGCTAATGATTATAACTTTACTTGACGCCCAAATAAATCATCCGAACGGGAGAAATCGCCGTTAATCACATGACATGGGCCAGACACGTCGCTCGTGTTTGGTCCCCTGATCCGCATCGTCCGCAATTATGCTCTAAAATCCACGGTGAACTGCCCCCCCGTCCGCATCAGAGAGGTAGAGCGGACGACTAGTGCAACACCAGGCACAGAGTACTCAGGGAGATGCCAAGAGAGCTGAACCCTTAGTAGATTCCTCCCCCCCTCGAGCGAACGCCCTGGGGCGGCCCCGGGCACATATGGTAATGGTTGTTTGAGTTCTTGTAGGTTTGTGAATTCCTTTTGACATTTCGTCAGTCCCCGACCGAGATTTAAGTCTTCGTTTCTCTCTCGCTGGTAGATTTCTCGCCCACCCGATCATCCACTTATGGATATGAAATATGTTGCATCGTGCCTGGAACGAGCTATGTTTGAAATCGGATTCGATCCGGGAAATTCACACTTCCTAGAAACTTGCACAAATTTAAAATCAGGTAAAGAGTATTCAGGGAGATTCTTACAACTAGCCTGCTGTCGTAGGTGGCCGGTGAAAAGGCGCGTCAAGATGCTGGCTGAGCCCCTTAGCGCGGAATCATGGACAGTATGTGTGCCCTACTATAGGGCAGCAACTACATTCTGGAGCACACGGCAGCTTACACTACGTAACGTACTGCTGGGCCGGCTTATAAATAACTGGTGAGAGGCTAAAAGTCGGGCACATGGGCATGCAACCTTTAGCCCCGCATGTAAGCTAAATGGGCCGCCTGCCTGCGGCTGTGCGTTGCTGCCCGTGAGGAGCGACACATTTATTTGAACATTTTTGGGCGTATCTGGACACGCCGCTTTCGACGGTTTACGAACCCCACGTTCCGGGGCAGTGATAAATTAATTGTTTAATACGGTACAAAAAATTTCCAAAATGATAATTAATATTTTTTTTATCTCTATCCATGTCCGGAATTGTGGTATCGGTAAATGTGTCCCCCATATGAGCCCTATGGCATAAAATGACAGATCGCATGCATAATCGAGCGCGTGATAAATTTACGGTTTCCGTGCAATTCTTGGTTGCCGTATGTGGGCCCAGTATCCCAATCGAATGGTCCATAATTCACGAAATAGTCTCCCTTTCCGCCGAGTAAGGAAAACGAAGCCGGGCTCGTTACTAGAACGATGTATGTTCATTAGCACTCATCTGCCACGCGGTAAATGACTACTGGTGAATATATATTTTACACATACATATGCAGTTTATCGACCGATCAGTCATCTCGTTCATGCCGGAATCACGTCAATCAGTAGCTAGCTAGAAGAAAAAGAGCTTCAATCTATTGCACCTTTACACCACCAATAAACCATGCACTCCGCACATGCATCCCTTCATGAACAATTCGCCAGTTCATCACTCGCTCACTGTCGATCTCATCAACTTCAGCCTCTGTCCCCGGGTGGGCAGAGCCACCCCGGTGCTGTCGCCCCCTTGCAAGCCGTCGGGGGTATCGGTGTTAATCACGTTGAGCGATTTGCCGCTGGTCAGCTTGAGCTGAACTACCTTGACGTATGCCAACGCATCGGTGGGTGCAAAACTCAGGCCTGAAACTTGCAGCTCGCCATCCAACGTGATCCGCTGTTCGGCAAGATGCTCTAAATTCTGGACAATGTCCCTGGCCTGCCTGTTGTAGCTAGGATTGGCGTTGTGCCTTGCATCCACCTCCGCCTCGTCGTACTCGGCATTCATATGCACCCCGAACCAGCTGAGAACAGGTACGTTAAACCCTCCATCGTAATGCTGCTTCGCGACCTGGTAAATGGACTTCTCCTGCTCGCTCAAGTTGCCCAGCAGGCTGGAATCCAGATCCGAAATTTGGGCACAGGTTACGGCCCGCATCTCTATCGTAAATCTCATCCAGCTCCACGCGCCATTTCGAACCTTAATGGCTCCCGAGCCGGCTGCAATATATCCGGTCTGGCAATCCTGCACCACACGGACCATATCCTCGCATGATGCTGTTAGGGACAGTATCCGCAGCTTCTGAACGACATCATCACCCCCATGGTGCGTGTTTTCTGGCTGGCTGCAGTTGCAGCTAGTGTCAACACCGACATTAGATGATGAGGAAGTGTCGTCCATGTCTGAGAAGTGGTCGTCATTGGCGGGCTCACCACACAACGCTGCAGGCATCCAGGAAAGTGGCAGCACATTAACGAAAGCAATGTGGGCCCATGCATGCTGCAGCCTAATGATCGTAGATGGCCCGTAGTGGGCCCGTGCGGCGCATGGCATGGCACAAATACATCACATAAGCGAAACAAGGCGAGTAGTTGTCGTGCAAAGTGTGGCGCGAGCGATGTATCTTGCTTGTGCCGGGAATACCTATCTTATAAATGGTTATTCCAGCGAATATCTGTGCGTCTGAACCATACACAGGTACACATAAGCAATAACGTTAAAGCGTCCGCTTGCATTCATGCAGGTACGCCTGCTGCATTGCTGAAACCTGGCATGGCCAGCTAGATAGCTAGCTCTATACTTACAGTCTTCCATTTGCAAACCAAACATTGTCGCCTTCTGCCGGTTGATCAGCTCCACTATTTCACCCTTCTCCTCCACCACCGCAATGGCCCACCCATCCGAGCGCTCGGCAAAGTCATACGGCATGTAGCCGTACCCTTCGTGCCCCCAGTCCGCGCCCCAGGAGTTGCGGAACTTGAATAGCTTCTTGGCATCATCGTAGCCCACAAACAAGACGCAATGGCCACCGATGCGGTCACCCTTGGGCATCTTAATGACGCCAGTGGACTGTACATCGTCGTCGTACAAATTCTCATAGCACGTAAAACCCGCCATGACAGGCATCCCAGCGGCGATGGCGGCCTTAAGCGACTGGTTGTCCATGTCTATGCGTACGGCTCGGAGGACCTGGAATTCCACGGCCGCGGCAAAGGCCGCCTTTGAGGGCTCCTCGCAGATTTGGAAGTCTCCGGGAGCGCTGTGCGGGCACAGCGTCTGCATGCAGATGAAATCAGGCACACAAATCGGCAAGCGTTCCATGAAGATGTACAATGTAAACGCCGTCAACAGTGTGCTTGACAACTAGTACTCACTGCAAACTGCGGGCAGCATGTACGACAGTACAAACGAAGCTGTTCCCAGAGCGATAGCATACGCATGATGACGATTTAGCAACAACAATCAGTTGGTGTTGGTTGCAATTAGCCCGCAAGCAAGGGGGGAAAGCGCCCCGCTTACATAACCCAAAGCAAGGCTACTTCTCAGAAGGGGAGGAACACGGGTTGAAATGGCTGTAGTGGAATCCTATGGTGGTGTATCAAATAGACAGGGTCATCACAACTAAAAGGTAAATCCCCCGTGGACTGTCGCTGCCGAGTGCAACCCACCGACAATTGGAAGGAAAGCTATGATGGTAACATCCAACGGAAATGTACCGACCACAGAATGTACCACTATTTAGCAAACCTTTCTCTATCCAGTTGTCGACAGCATGGCATGCATGAATGCACGTGCGAACGTAACACGCACAGCAGCAGCCCACACGATGTATGTATATACCTCAGGCGCCGCGCCAAACATGCGCAGAGCCGCCATAGCAGTGGAGATGTGTGTCCCTGCCGTGTCGTCGGAAGGCTCTGATCCAGTCGTCATGACTCTCGCACAGTAGTGTACGAATCGCGGTGAGAGCAGTGTGCAGCTGCTACTACAGCTACGTGCCACGTACTCCATGGCCGCTGT